TTCATGCAACTGGCAAAATAATGGATAAAATATAGTTCATCTTATCAGGAGAAATAAAACAGTTGTATTTGTGGGAGAAAATAATTTTCTTCTTATAATTAGCCCACAAGTCATATTTCCACCTTCTGGCTAATTTAGCTGAAAGCATTAAATCAAATTCTCAACTTCTTAAGACAGCCCTATCTTCTCACTGGGAGTGACCTAAACCTTTCCATCCAGAATTGTAGACTTCAATTCACTAAAAATCCTTAGGGATATTCATGCCAGCTAGGGAATTTGGGAAATAAATGCATATATGTGGAGACTACATAGTCAGGTAAGGCTGGTAAATTCCCTCCTTGTGGATTTGGGGATTTCTATTTGGACACCGAAATTAGCACTCTAGTCCCCTCATGTAAATGTACTGATTCCCACAGTTCTAGGACTGATAATTCATCTTCAAGCAACAGGAACATTTGCAAACATTCTTTGGTTATCACAGACTAGTTATGCTGATGGAATGTATGAACAGTGGCTTAATATTTTTTCTCTAGGCAGATTTCCAGAGATTGAAAATTATGTGATTCTATATTAATGAAGTTACAAAAGATAATATAATGTTTAGGGGAAACAGCAGAAACATTAGCACTGCTTGTGACGTATCAATTTATGCAAGTTAGCTTTCCTTCATCCCCTAAAGTTCATTTGCGTGCAAAATTCCAAGCTTGGTTAGATAAACCTCAATAGAAAAAGATACAGGTCGGTTTTAAAAGATTTGCTTCCAAGCATCATGTTTGGAACAATAAGAATATTTGGTTATGTGTATGAATTTCATTGTTAAGAAGATGGGGTATTTCTCACTTCCTGCTTCCTAGATGAACTTTTTTAGGTGAGGGCTTTTCATTGTTGTCTTTGTGATAGAATTAAAAGGCTATTTAAACAGTGAAAACATAGCCATGTTTGACTTATGCATTAATTGCTCTGGTGGGAGGGGAGTAAAGACAGCAGAGAAATGGAGAAAAGAATTTGCAACAGGAGAGGAGAGATGGGAGAAAAAGTAGAGGCAAAGAAAAAAGGGGAGAGAGTTTGGAGAAGAATTTGCAGCTTTATTTTTCAAAAAAAAAAAATCCATCACAAGGGAAAAATCCTTACAGTATCCAAGTACCTCACATGTATCACCATCATATTTTTAGTCTGTAAGAAGCAAGCGTTATCCAAAATAATTTCAGATACTTTTTTGACATGTGTAGACAGGTGCAGGATTCTTATGCAGCTCTGGGTCAGGTTTCAGAGAAAACACAACAACCTCTCTCAGCCTGATGGGCTGGTTATAGTTTTCATCAAATCAGACAAGGTACATTCAGGCTGAGTGTGATAGGAGCAATAATCAAAGCGTAGGATATAAGGCTGGAGACGGTGCCCTAAGACAAATTCTACTCACTTTAGCATTGGTAAGATTATGATATTGTTATCAAGCAATATAAATATCACTGTTTTAAATTATTATACAGCAGCCTTTTAAAATATATAATACAAAAAAATAGCATACATACAAACTGGCATTAAATGGATGTTAAAATCCCCTTTCCTGTTTGTCCCATTCTCTATACTGTTTAAAAACCATGCTTTTATCAAATGGGCTGCACCCGTGAGTTCTTATAAATAGCGTTTTATGGAATAAACAAAAATTGCTGCTATAAGCTATTCTTAATATATTCAAATTAAAATAAGTAGTAGCAGCAATAGAAGAAGTGACCAAATGAATGTTTTCATTTTGATTGCATCTAGGCCATTTTAATAAAGCTGCTTTCTGAATTTCAGTAATTCCTAGATCATATCTAATAGCACCACAGAAAATGGTTTTATATCTCTTAGCACACTTGAGAAACCAGAAAAAATTAGACAATTTATCAGTTGAAAATCCAGGCTTAGGCCTAAATATGACCATTACTGGTTATACAGACAGAGCTGATAAGTTCCCTAAGAATACTGAGTTGAGATTTGTAACTATATTTAGGTACAATAACATATTGGATATGAATTAAATGAAAGATGGAACATTTTCATTCACAGTAAATCCATTTTGTAATGAAAAATATCTTGTTATTATCATACTGATTTACTACTATTCCCATCAGTTTTCAGTTAATAAAATGAATAGGAAAGTCTATAACTTTCTGAAAGAAATATTTCTGTGTTTAAAAAGAAATTTAAACAATTTTGTATTAAAAACAAAATAGAAAAATGGCTTTTGTGTCAACATTATTATCTTACCTACCCCATAACAGTCTTGTTTTATTCCCTTAATCACTGGACTATGTATGCTGGAAATGCAAATTTCATATTATTCCTAATAATATTTAAGAAGTAAGTAATTCCGGTAATTTTCAATAGAATATTTCATGAATATCTAATAATATTAATACAAAAATCTGCCTTGTGCCATTCTAGCTAATTTGTCCTTATAGGTCAAGGTAATCTTCTTCAACTATAAGTTCTACAAGGTCTCAGGCACAACAGAAGTTCTCTTTCTTAGCCTATTCATTGGAGATGTCATGTTTTTGACTTTACAACAAGCTTACATTCTACTTCTAAGCTACAATTCTGATCCAGAATAAGATATAAGGATATATATTTTATTCCATTGCCATTGCAATCAAAGGGATTGGATAAGTGAATACAGTCAAATAGATCTAGAGTTATAGGTTCTCTCCTCCCTCCCCATGTTTCTATTAGAACCCAAGTAAAACCATTTTGCTATAATAGTAATAATAATAATAATAATAATAATAATAATAATAATAATAATAATAAAGTTCGAAGGGACCTTGGAGGTCATCAAGTCCAACCACCTGCTCAGGCAGGTAACCCTACCATTTCGGACAAATGGCTGTCCACTTTCTTCTTAAAAACTTCCAGTGTTGGAGCATTCACCGCTTCTGGAGGCAGGTTGTTCCACTGGTTAATTGTTCTGTCAGGAAGTTTCTCCTTAGTTCTAGGTTGCTTCTATCTTTGATTAGTTTCCATCTGTTGCTTCTTGTCCTGCCTTCAGGCGCTTTGGAAAATAGCTTGACTCCTTCATCTTTGTGGCAGCACCTGAGATATTGGAACACTATCATGTCCCCCTTCGTGCTTCTCTTCGTTAAACTAGACATACCCAATTCCAGCAACCGTTCCTCATACGTTTTAGCCTCCAGTCTCCTAATCATCTTTGTTGCTCTTCTCTGTACTCTTTCTACAGTCTCAACATCTTTTTTACATCGTGGTGACCAAAACTGGATGCAATATTCCAAGTGTGGCCTTACCAAGGCATTGTAGAGTGGTATTAATACTTTGCGTGATCTTGACTCTATCCCTCTGTTAATGCAGCCCAGCACTGTGTTGGCTTTTTTGGCACCTGCAGCACACTGCTGGCTCATATTTAAATGATTGTCCACTAGGACTCTGAGATCCCTCTCACAGTTACTACTCTTGAGCAAAGTACCTCCTATACCACAGGTCGGCAACCTGCGGCTCCGGAGCCGCATGCGGCTCTTTGAGCCTTCCCCTGTGGCTCCCAGCCTCCTCTGCCATTTGCAGAGAGAGACAGAGACAGAGAGAGGCAATTGCGCTTCCCTGCTTTTCTCTCTCTCTCTCTTTCCCTCCCTCCCTCCCTCCCTCTCTCTCTCTCTCTCCCTCCCTCCCTCCCTCTCTCTCTCTCTCTCTCTCTGTGTATGTGTGTGTATATAAAAGAGAATGCACTCACAGTATTCTCCGAGGAGCTGAAAAGCTTACTGGGCGGAGCTCCTCCCTTTGCTGCGTCTCAGCAGGAAGCAGGAAGGGTAGGAGAGAGCTAGCTAGCCCAGCTAGGCTGACTCAGGAATTCTGGGAGTTGAAGTCCATGAGTCATAAAAGAGACGAGATTGCCTATCCCTGAGCTTGTTGGACAACAGCTTGAAGTTTGCCAGGTGAGCAGCAGATAGGAGAGGTGGGGGAGAGAAAGAGAGAGAGAGGGAGGGAGAGAGAGAGAGAGAGAGAGAGAGAGAGAGAGAGAGAGAGAGGAAAGAGAGAGAGAGAAATAGAGTGGGGGAAGAGGAGTGGCAGACCAAGGGCAGATAGAGAGGGAGGGAGAGAGAGAGACAGAGAGACCCTTTTGACATCTAAAATGAAGATAACACTGCATATATCCTTTTTTTTAACCTGTGTGTGTCTGTGTGTGTGTGTGTATATATATATATACACACACACACACACACACACACATATATATACGTATATACGTATATACCTCAGAAAACAAATACGTATATACGTATATACATATATATACACACACACATACACACATACACACACACACACACACACACACACACACACCCCTATAATAAAGGTAAAGGCTCCCGGTGTTTTGTTTTTGGTGGGAAATGGGTCCAAGTGGCTCTTTGAGTGTTTTGGGTTGCCTACCCCTGCCCTATACTATACCTGTACATTTGGTTTTTCTTGCCTAAATGTAGAACCTTACTTTTTTCACCATTGAATTTAATTTTGTTAGATAGCGCCCAGTGTTCAAGTCTGTCCAGATCCTCCTGTATCCTAAGCCTGTCTTCTGGAGTGTTGGCTATTCCTGCCAGCTTGGTGTCGTCTGCAAATTTGATGAGTTCCCCATCTATCCCCTCGTCCAAATCGTTGATGAAGATGTTGAAGAGCACTGGGCCCAGAACAGAGCCCTGGGGCACCCCACTACACACTTCCCTCCATGTAAGACTTACCTCCACCACTTGTCATGGGCATGCATGACAAGGTAGTTCTCAACTTACAGTACAACCACAACTGAGCTCAAAATTTCTATCCAGTTGTTAAGTGAACCTGACTTTCCCATTGACTTTGCTTGTCAGAAGGTGATCATGTGACCCCTGGATACTGCAACTGTCATAAATATGAACCAATTGCTTCAAAGGTCATAACTATGAAAAACAGTCATAAGTCATTTTTTTCAATGCCGTTGTAACTTTGAACAGTCATTAAATGAGCAGTTCTAAGTCAAGGATTACCAGTATAGTCAAATTTTATTTTTTCATTTACCCTTACGTGGAGGCCCCAAGGATTACCAAAAAAGTGATGGATAGACTGCCTGCATGAAAACATGCAAGTCAAAGGCGTATGCCCCCAGCAATGCTTCGGACCGGATCAAGTGACCTGCAAAATGAAAAACTGCAGACTCTGTGATATTGTGGGACTAATGCAAAGAACAAGAATAAGACCCTCACAACATTGACACTCCTTTTTGTTAGGGGGGGCACTAAGATAAAATAATGGCAGCTTATCTAACAAGAACTAGTATGGCACTGATGACCTTCAATTGAGGATTTCCTGGTTCATAGCATTTATGCATTAATAAATACATTTAAGCTATTTATATGTTTCTTTAACTACCATGTGACTTTAGGATATATCACAATAATTAAAATATATAGCTACAATAAAACTCACAGCAGCAGTAAAGGCTTACAGATATATTGTATTTTTATTATTTCCAGTAAAAGACTGTAACAGAGACAATGCGTTCTCAGTTGGGCAAAAAATGAAATCAGTTCTACAACTTCCTTAAGCTCAGTAATTGTCATTCAATAAATATAAGAAGTCCAAATCCTCCAAAAAAATTCTAAGGTTCTTATACTACTCATACCTGTAAAGCAACCACAAAATAAATGAACTGCAAATTAGGCCTCTTTCTCTTTCTTTCTCCTCTGTTTTCTCCTTCCAAAATTAGGGTTGTCATTCCATGGATGCAATTCTGCTTACAAAAAAGAATCAAAAGGTGTAAAAATCCAAAAGTGGATAGATGCTGCTGATATGTTAGTACTTTGAGGATTCACACATATAGTTATGATAGACTTCTTAGCATTGTGCAAATGATAAGTCTAAGTCTGTTATAAATATGAATGTAAATGGTAACACGTGGAACTATAAGATAGTGGATTCTTTCATAACAGAATCAATAACGGGGACTAGTTACTCTGTAGAACAGGGAAAGGAAACCTGAGGACCTAGACCCATTGTTGTAGTTTCAGGACAGTCCTTTGGATCACGTGCTAAAATCAGAGGATACTTCTTCCTCCATCTTGAGGCATAAAACCAAAAAAACATGTAATTACTTATTTTTGTAAAAGCTTATAAAGAAGCTTAAGTAGTTTTTAAAAACAAGGAAGACCTCAAACCTTCCCTTCCCCACAGGAATCCCAGTAAAGAAGCAGAAAATCCACACATATAATGCCACCATACCAACTATGCCCTGTACAGCACAAATATGAAGTGTAGTAAAAGCCAGCCAGTCTTCTATAGATGATGTTGTTCTCCTGTATAAATCTTCCAGCCACTGTAACAGCAGGTCAGTTTCTTGTACTAAGTTAGAATTTACACCAGAAATGGTTCTTAAGCAAGGCAGTTGTTAAGTGAGCCACACCTAATTTTATAACCCTTTTGCCATGATTGTTAAGCAAATCACTGAAGCTAAGGGTATCCTGTGGTTGATAAGGGAATCTGGCTTCCCCCATTGACTTTGCTTGTCAGAAGTCAGCTGAGAAGGTCACAAACTGTACACACAATTCCAGACTGCTGCAAATACATGCTGGTTGCCAAGTGCCCAAATTTTGATCACATGATCATGGGAATGCTGTGACAGTCGTAAGTGCAAGGAATGGTTTTAAATCATTTTTAGTGCCATTGTAACTTTGAACGGTCACTAAAGGAATGGTTGTAAGTCAAGGACTATCTGTACACTTCTGAAGGGTCACTATTAAAGGGAAAAGTAGGTACGGAGCCAGTTGACAGGAATGAAACTAGATAACAAAGGATTTCCTTCATAAATGTAAGCTTTGCATTTTAATAGACCCTCAGCCGTATTTATATAAAAAAGAAGTTATATTCAAGTATGAAATTCAGTTTCTAGAAGATGAAAGCATTTCCCCAAGTGAAAGGATACAAAATATTTTCTGAATAGACATACTGTATTGCAAGGCTGGCTAGGGAATTCTGGGAGTTGAAGTCCACACATCTTAAAGTTGCTAAGTTTAGGAAACACTGCATTACAATATGAAGTGACTCCATAATTCAAATTTGGAAAAGCCGTGTTGCAAGCTTGTACACTGCTATCCTATCTATTTGATGTATGCATAAAATATCATAAGCTAGACTGAAAGAAACAGAGATGAGAAGAAAAAAAATGCTCCAAGAAATATTAACAGACTCAGATAAGCTGACAATATCGCTTCAGTAGAAGAAAGTGAGGAAGACTTAATCTATCTCTTACTGAAGGTGAAAGCCAAGTGCAAAAACTAGTCTGACACTCTATTTCTCTTTAAAAAAAACAAGATTACATCAGCTGATTGTGCCAAGCCAGTGCAAATAACTGATAATCTTTTGAAACAATGTTCACAATATATGCTTGGAAAAATCCAACACAAAAAACTAGCAGGTGGCAAGATTTTATCATGTAAGCATGAGCTTATGAGGACTTCAAGAATAGTTGCATATAGACAATTCTGGTAAATTGTTGTACATCAGACCACAATAAGTTGGAAATGAATGAATAACTGAACAAAACAATAATACTAGATAGTGTACTAGTGTATTATATTATCAAAAAAAATAAAGGGCACATTTTTATATTGCGGGTGCTGAAGAAATAGATAATATGAGCAGAAGGAATGTTTTTCAAAACCCCCAGATCTGAGAGACCTTTGAAACAGTATGCAGCTGATCTCTGTGGATTCAATACTATTTAGCTCAAAATACAATTACTAATGAACTAGTCTTACTTGAATTTTATGTATTCAGATTCTGCCAAATGGATAGCAGCACTATAGTTTCTTCCTCTATCCTACTTATTTAATCGCTATTAAAATTTAGAGATGACAGACTGAATATTATAAAAATTGTATAGATATATTTTTAATAAAAATAAATGACTATTGTACATTTTGTAACTATGTAAGTTAGCCACCGCATGGCCTAGAAACTAATTGTATCACTACTGGATCCGAATATATCTATTATGATTTTAATTTTATTGAAGACGTTTACATAACCCACTGACTAGCATGCCGCTAAGCTTTCAAACAGTTGTAAACCAGGGAAAGGAAACCTCTACCCAGTGTAGCACTCAATGGGAAAAAGTTATTAATTGTATAGAACATACTCTAAATGTTCAGCAAGGAGGAAAGAGAATTTAAAATGCATTGAAATGCATGAGGTCTTATCTTTCAACCCTCAAGGGGGAACCCTGGATTATCTTGCAAAGGGATATACTCAGGCCTGATTCACCACAATGCAGCCTGTAGGTGAATCCTAACGTATGTTATAAATATCTTTGTATGTAATCCCATACAACATTTTATACATTGATAATACTAAGATCCAAGCATGATTACCCATCCAGCACATGCAGATTTTTTGACAACCATTCAAATAATGCTGGGGATATTAATAGCTTGCTCATCATCCCACAATTAGCCATTTTCCTTTCCCAATGATTTTTACATTAATTCTAAATGACACAACCATGAAAATTAGTTGATTCTTATATGACAGTAGTGTTTTCTACAAAATTCACAAATATAAGTAAATCAAAGTCTATAGGTAGATCTCTGATTTAATTACTCAGTAAGGGTTGAGCTTGTTGAAATGAAGCAAGTTTAGATGTGAATTTTGAGCAAAAGAACTGAGCTAAAAAGAATTATACACTAAACCCTGGATTTAATAGATTAATGAAGGAAGGATGTCCCTTAAATAAATGACATCTTAGTGTGTTATATGAAAATTGGAACACTTTTTAGCCTCAAATCATACTTACATATAATGTGAGATTTCTGTCTTTGTATGAGTGCCTTCAAGTCAGCACTATCTCTTGCCAACTGCCTGGACTTATCCCTGCAGGGGTTTTTTAGCAAGGTTTTTGGAAGTGCCTTGCTATTGCTTGCTTCTTAGTATGTGAGGAAGCAGCCCAGGAATTCAACTGGCTACAAATCTAAGTCTCCAGAACACTAGCCTGGTGCTTTAACAATTATACCAAAGTGGCTCTCAATATATAGCATTACCAATAGCAGAGAAAACCCATTTTGAGGGAAAGCAGCAAGGATTGTTCAATGAATTTTGCCCATTGTTTGAGAGGAAGTCTATTACTGCTTGCAATTAAGACAAAATTTAGATCCAGGCTTCTGTCAGATCAGAAGCCCTTTAATCCAAGATTCATTGAATCATTTTTTATTGTATTAAAAAGAATTATCTGCACTAATGTAAACACATGAACAGGCAGGTTTAGCAGATAGAAGTCTTCACCCAAGGAAGTGGGTGTTTATGGTTGAGTGGGCATGTAAATTAAGGGCTCTTGTCGCTTTTTATACAAGGCAAATTAAACTGATACATTGTAAATGCACAGTTGATTATCTTTGATCAATTTAAATCTGTGTGAGGTTTCATTTCAATTTAGCCCCCATAAAATTCACAAGAAGAAATTACATCTGGATACATCATTTTTTTTATTTCTGCCTATATGTTTATGTACCTGACTCTGATATGGTTATAAAAAAAACACAAACAAAATAAATCTAATACATCAGTATTTCCATTCCTGTTCTAAAACCAAGTGCTGACATTGCCATAGATTTATTGGTAGATCAGCATAAAGGAGAAAAGCCATTTGTATGCCAGTCAAAGTTCTAGTAAGATATTTATTTATCAATTGATCGTGTGCTCAGAGGTTTTTCTGCTATTTTATTTCTGCCATTCTTCTGCTCCTGAAGAAGTTGAAACCTTGTGCAGCATTTGGTTAAACAAAAACCTCTGAATTGATTTCACAGGCATCGATATGGAAATGATTTGATATTACTTTCTTCTAGATATTTTCTTTTTAACTTCCGAATCCTGCGATATCTGGATTCAAGCCAGCGTAGCTTCAAGATATCAGCCAAGGCTGCCTAGAAGCTGCTCCCTACCTGGGACTCATTGGTGTAAGGTAATACGTTGGTGATCGTCTGGATTCCAGTTATCTAGCATCGACACAAAGCCTGCCAAAAGGGGTAGCCTTCCGTAGCAGGCGTTCGGTGTAGAGAAGTATTAACTCTGCAAATCCAGTCCTGACCCCCTTGTAGAAACGGGGGTATTAGAGCGAAAGATAAAACTCTAGGCAGAAAGCCACAGCTTGACATTTACACAAACAACACTTTCACCTGCTTTTTCCCCTCACAAAGAGCGGGCAGGCCAACATTACCAAGAGGAGAAAAGCCCCTCCCACCCTTCCATCCCAGGGGCGGGGATTTTATAAAGGCAGCTTTAAAGGTGCAGCGAAAAACGACAGTTCAAACGTGCACCGCATTTTTCTCTCGTCTTCGAGCGCCCACGTTTCCCCACGACAAACTCCCCTCTGCCACGCCGCAATCCCCTCGCCGCTCTTTCCCTCACACATCCGTTACCCGCCTCTCTTCCCTCCTTCCTTTCTTCCTTCCTCCTCCCGTCAAACCCGTGACAGCCTTTGAGGCACGCCCTGCCAGGCCAGAGCTGCTGTTTGCCGGCAGGCTGGGGAGGCAGCCGCGCGTTGCCTCAGCAGCCCTCGCCCGCCAGCCAGCCAGCCAAACGCGGCGACGCCGGAGCGACCCGCAGCCGCGCGGGGTGCCCGTACTGCGGTCCTCCGGTTTCGGAGGCGCCGGGACGAGGACGGGCGGTGACGGCCATGGGCTCGACCGAGGAACTGCTGCTGCCCCCCGAGTACCTCTTTGCAAGCGAGTGGGAACGGGAATCGGCGCCGTCGTTGCCGCCCTTAAGGGGCAGAGGGGGCGCATCCCGGCACAAGCGGCGGCGGCAGCAGCAGCAGCCCCCCCATTCCTCGCTGCCTCTGGTGGGGGACGAGGACAAGCCGCAGCAGCAGGTGAGCGTCAAGGAGCTCTCGTGAAAAGCGGCGACTTGCCAGAGACGCGTGTCAAGCATAGCCGGGTGGTGTGTCAGGGAGTTTCACTTTCCTGAAAAAAGGGGGACCAGGTCCGGGGAGTCGGTTTAGAGAATCCGGACCGCGAGGCCTTTGTTCCGCTTTTGCCTTCCTGTGCTGTCAGTGGCAGACATGAGAGAAATGGGGCTTGTGTGTGTGAGGAACGACACACCTACTGTACTTGCACGAGGCAGTCAGACCCAGTAATCGGCTCCGGCAGGCAGCAGTTTCCCCTCCCCTTTTGGCAGAGCCGCAGTGTTGTAGCTCGGCGGTGAAGTGTTTTTTCCTCCCATTCTGGAAGAAAGAGAGCAAGCATTTTTCCCCACACTAGGACAGCGATGCATCTGAGTTTCTCCTTTGCCTGATTAAGTTGGGAAGAGGCTCCTGGAGAACATGAAAATGTTGCACTTCGTCTAAGCATAATGGAATTGCCTTCTTGCCAAGTTTGGGGTGAAGAAAAACAAGCACAACATGACCATTTTGATATTGTTAGATAAATTCTTATTATGTAGGAGTAGGATTATTTCCTACTTGTGAACTGTTTCTCAGACTGTACATTTGATTTTAAAAAAAAAAATCAGGAAGATCAGCAACATCACATAAAACTATCCTGTATTGACATTTAATTGCTTTTTTTTCTCGGTCTCATGTTTAGGGGTCTTTAGATTTCATGTCTTTGAGAATATTTGATGTTGCCCTCTTCGACTGTAACCCATCACTGTATCATTCCTCAGCATCCTTTGCAGCCTGTCCTACCCTCTCTGGAGGCCTCTGATGTTTTCCCTTGAGATAGATGTGTAAGAAATTCAGTAGGCTGTTGAAGAAATGTATAATAAACAGTCATATCACAACTAATGTGTAAGAATTCCACACTTGCCAATGAGAATTTCATTAAAATGTTAACTTTTTTAAAAGCAGGGAGTTTTCATGACCATAAAATTTAAAGAGAATAATAAAACACAGAGAAAGAGAAGAAATTGCTTAGCATAATTCTTAATAAGCCTAAACTGAGATGCCACATCATTCAGGTATCTGTACTTATGATTTCTGGAGGGCTGCTTGGAACATTTTGCTAAGAACAGTATGAATATTTGAATAATGAATGTACAAATTCTGATAGAATTAAGTCTCACAAGTATGACTTGAAAAAATGGACAGAAATAACACTAAGAGTTCAGAAAGTTCTCACACTAAGCAGGTGCCAGCATCCCACTGACCTTGGCTAATCTTCAAAATCCCTAAAAAGATGCACTGCAGTAAGCCAATCATGAAGCAATAAAGTGCATGAATGACAGTCCCCAAAATTTGATTAAGATTGTTATTACAGTTAAGCAAAAGCAGTTATAAATTCATTCTGTTTTTATTTGATCCTAAACATTAGAAAACAGAATATTTCACATAAAACTCCTAAATACTCTTAAATATATTGTTTTTGTTAAGTTTCTCTGTTTCTCTGTTATTGGCAGAGGTATACAATGTGCAAAGTAAACAATTAGACTATGTGAAACAACTTCTCTGCAGCAAAGATCTTTATCCACATATGATAATTCTCAGTTTGTACGAGTTTCAAGAGCAAGTGGCTCAAGAGCTGACATGATGTCATTTTATTCAAAGTGATGAGAAGATAATCACTTACCAAATTGAAGAAAACATGAAATTTTGCAAATAAACACAACACTCCCAAATTAAAAGAGATTTAATTTCTAAGTTAGTACAGTACTTACTCCAGGTAGACTTTTCTATTTTAATTATTTAATATCCTAGCAGATTTTATTTTCTTCGAGGCTATAATTTTCAGAATGCACTTATTAAAGAGAATAAACACCTGGCATCTGTAGTTTCAAAATTATAATACAATACTGTGATGCAATTTCCCCCTCTAAGCAGATGTTTCAAGGACATTATTAAATACATTGATTTTTAAAAGTACTTTAAATTAATTAATATAAATATGTTTATATTAATTAAATAAAATTAATATAAATATGTTACAAGCTTGGTGATTCAGGAAGTGAAATTATTTCCCAAGTACATCTTTCATTTCACAGTTCCTATGGAAATAGATGTTTACTACAATTAAGGGTACTTTGTATTTCTTTTTGCTCTTTAGATCTCAAGGTGCTACACAAATATATATAATATTTCTATTTACTATGAACAAAATTGCATCTTTTGTTATATATCCTTAATCACTGAAGCCTTGTAAAGTACAACTGAAATAAAAAGAATCCTGGATAGTATATACCTAAAATTCATTTTAAGTTATTACAGGGCCTATTCTCTTTTTTTTTTAGCAGATTAATTAAAATTAGCCATCCTGGAATAAAGAATATGAAATCCTAACACATTTGAGTAAATTTGTACAGAAATGTTTCAGTTATATAGACCAGTGGTTCTTAACCTGGGCGATATTGCCCCCCAGGGGGTGATTTCATTTTTCAGGGGGTGAAGGAACGAAAAGGGGGCGATATGAGGGCGATGGAGCGAGAAGTTTTGGGAACACTTTTGAGATTTTTTCGTACAATGAATCGCTTTATATCTGTCATACAAAACATCAGATTGCTCACTATTAGTGGATTGAATTGTGTTTTCAAATGTTCCTCCAGCTAGCTTCAGTACAGAACACCATACATATGTGAATACGCATCTCTTATCTTCATGTGCATTGCACAGCAGCCTCTACCCATACAGTGGCACGCCATTGGCCAGAATATGGGAGATATGGGGAAAAGACTGGAAATAAATTATTTGCATCGATATGTCCTGATGACAATTTTAAAGAAAACAAAAAAAAGTGTTTGCATAAATTGAAGAATTATTTCCTATGTTGTGATTGAGAGGTTATGTTGGGGGAGGGGGCGATGACAACTTCCTCATTGGCTCAAGGGGGCGATTCAGTCAAAAAGGTTAAGAACCGCTGATATAGACCTTATACTCCAATAAGGTCAAGATTCCTTGATCTACATTTATTCTCAACCTAATTCTGTAACTGGATCAATTATCTTCATGACTAAGTTGAGTTGCTTATAAGATTTAACTTAGTTCATTTTATATTACATCTTTTTTAACTTTTGAGTTTCTCAGTCTCTGAAATAATGTAAGAAAATAATATAGTTTTAACAGAATTCACGTTAAAAATATCTATCTTTTATAAAGCTTCAATATAAATTAATGTTGGAGAACAACCATCCAAGTCAGTAGAAGGGCTCCAGTGGAAAATTAGCATGGACTCGCTAGACACAAGAGAGCAAGGTCTCTCTCTCTCTCTCCCTCTCCCTCCCCCTCTTTCTCTCTCTCTCTCTCTCTCTCTCTCTCTCTCTCTCTCTCTCTCTCTCTCTTCTCTCTCTCTCTCTCTCTCTCTCTCTCTCTCTCTCTCTCTCTCTCTCTCACACACACACACACACACACACACTCACAGGCTTTTGAACCTTACCTAGTCTATCCCAGGCTAAAGCTGCCTATCTGGGGAGATTCCTGTGCTATAGGTAGAGAACAATAAAATAGATTGAAATCGACACATGAGGGTTTGGTTGTTCGCACCTAACAATTACAGGCAGTTTCTGTGTATTTGACCACAATGGTTGGTAATTGTAGTGCATGGTTTGTCTCGAAAGCAGAAGTGTTACACAATATCTGAAATAAACAATTCTTAAGATAATTCTAAAGTGGCTAGACTTGTGGTTAAAATATATTCTAATATAAAAAAAGTGTGTTCTATTCAATTTTTACAATAAGACTTAAGTTTTAACAATAATGCATGTTTGCTACATTGTTAGAACTAGTTTTGAATAGAATAATCATGTATCATATCCATAAATCCACATATCCAGCTATAAAAAGGAAAACATATTTCTTAACGCTCCTAACACTCTTAACACTCAGTCAAAATTTGCTGGAAATCAGTTGGAGCTATGGGTTTGTAATTTATGTTAAATTGGTACTGTTAGTTCCAGGTCTCTTTTCTTAAATTTCCTGCCTTTGCTCTGCCCTCTAAAAGGTCTTTTAAATGTATCCTAGATGTATGGAAGCTTTTTTTCTCTGAGTACTTCCCACATAATTGCAGATGGATTTAAATTACTCAATTGGGATATTCAAATTAGGGCTCTTTTGAAATAGTTTGGAAAAATTCTTTAGGCACATAGGAAACTGCTTTTCTGGATTTCAGTAAACTGTTTTTGTGGCCCCACATGCCCTGAAACATCTTGTTTAAACTGAATACAAAGCATTAAACATCTGTACTAAATGGTCTTAAAAAGTAATGCTTTGCAACATGGGTGCATGTACAAACTGTCTTTTTTCAAATTCTTAAAATAGTCTCATTCTTTACAAGCTTTATTTGGCTGCTTCAGAAGACACTCCCCAACAATCTCTGCATGCATGTACATGATAGCCACTAAGTGAAGTAGTTATATAAGCATGTAATGCAGAGATAGCTTGCTGCAGCTTGAAAGAGGTACTTTGTTTGCCCAATGCTGTTAACCAACTTAGAACAAATCTGATGTAGTGGTTAAGGCACGAGGCTGCTGGGTGACTTTGGGCCAGTCATTTTCTGAGACCTAGGAAGCAGGCAAAGGCAAGCCAGTTTCAAAGACTAGTTGCCAGGAGTTAACTCTGACTCAAAAGTATTAAAAAAATTACTGACTATTTGAGTCAGATCAAATTACCTACATTGGTCCTGTACAAAGTAGAGAAAGGGAAGGGTGCCAGTGTGTCTCTGTGTTTTTCTTGTTGGTCTATGACTGTAATGATTTGATAGTATCTGCATATTTTATTGTTTAAGTGGTATATTAGTTTTATGTTTGCCATTAAGGAAGAAACTTTAGGTTTCTGGTTCCGGTTCGCGGCGTCTCTAGTACGGGCAGACTTCTCTCCTCGTCGGCTAGCTTTCCCTCCACCGGCAGACCCTTATGCGGGTCCAAAGTCGCCCTGGAGGGTGCGACTTCTGTCAAGGAGGCTCTGCTCAGCTGATGAGGAGCGGCAGCTCCCTCAGCTGTCTGAGCCATCTCTGAGGGCCGACAGAGAAGAAGATCAGCTTCAAACCGCAAGTCAAAGAACATCTAAGCTGTAAGAACCCCCATGGTGAATACGGGTAAGACTTTTCTTTGTTATTCTCTCTATTCTATTTTGGTTTTGCTACCTGAAAGAGCCTTTTTGGAATTACTTCCCTGGCTTGAAAAGTCAGCTTCTACATTTGTTGGGAAGAAAGGCGTTCTATAAAAATAGAACAGAATTTTAAAGACTATATTTACTTTTATATTTTTGGGGTACAGAAAAAAAAATTCTGTTCTTTTCCTCTTTTTCTAAGAAGTGTACTATCATCCTATGCTGGAAGATTATTTCTTTTTCACATTATACTTTAAAAGATAGAAAAAGGGAAATGACGTTTGAAAAAGACCTTTTTTAACTTACTGAGGACATCTAGTGGTGAAAATTTAATACTGCAGCCTCTGGTTACTTGGTTTGAAGATAGCTGACCTTCAAAATACTTTTGAAGAGGAAAGATAAGCTGGAGAACTGTGTGATATTGCCTAAATTATATTAAATATAGCCTCCACAAAAAAGAAAAAAGAAACTCTTTTTAATTACTATCAAAATGGAGAAAACTCAGTCACATTTAAACTGTACACTTATATTGGAAAAGATCTATGAGGCTACTGCAGAAATATGTGCTACAATGAAAAAGTTTACTAAGAACTAAGATCTAGGGATTTCACTTCAAATGTTCAAATGGACGTCCAGGCTATATCTGACTATGGTATAAATCAAAATATATTAGAAGAAGAATCAACAGAGATAAAAGATGAACTTATTCTATCTTACAAGCCTTCCATCTGCAACTCTGAGGAACAGAAGAAGCAAAGACTGAGATTTCAAACTACAAAGCAACAATGCTTCAAGGAGGAGAGCATCTGCAACTTAGAGGAACTGAAGAAGCAAAGACTGAGACTTCAAACTACAAAGCAACAACCCTTCATGGAGAAGAGATACAGACATCTAATGCAGAGGATGGGATTGCTATTATTGCAAAGGCTACTGCAAGCAACAAAGACAGATCTACTGGCTGAAAGGGAAGCGTCCCTATGTAAACCTGTTTGGCACAGGAAAAAAGCCAGAATTAGACTGAAAAGAGAAATTTAAAATTGTGTAATGGATTTGAAGGCAATTTTTTGATTTATGGTTTGTTTTAAGGATTATGATTTAGAGTTAGAAGCAAGAAAAAATATAAACATATATATATGAGGGTGATTGTTAGAAAAGATATTTTAAATAGATTAAGAATACTTTTGGAAAAACAGATTTATTTTGATGAAAATTATGTATTGGAATTGAAAAAATGTTTATTTTTTAGATTGGGATGTTTTTAATAATTAATGGAGTGTTTTAACTTAGATGGGTTTTTTGTACAATAACATAGATGTGATAAGATATGACAATCAATTGGATGATATTTGAAGTTTCTGTAATTAAGTGAAATGAATTAACATTATTTTTTAATTAAGATAGCTATTGTGTAATGGAAGAAGAAATAAATGAGATTGGTGATAAAAGGAGGGATGAGAGAAATTAAGAACTAGAATATATCTGTAAGGGATACCTGAATTGATAACTTGTTGAGTTAAAGTGAAATTTGATTTTGGTAATTGTAAACTGATTTGGAGTTTTAAAACAGGTTTAGTAGTAATAGAAATTTAATTTAGAAATGGAATATTTTAAATGTATTATGTTATTTGAGGGAAATAGAGAGGAGACAGTAAATGTATTGAGTTGAATTGTTTATTTATGTTTTTACTTTGAAATTTCTGATTACCCAAACACCGCGGTGTGTCCTGAGTACTTTTTCTTAAAAATTAAAAAACCAATAAAATATTTTTTTAAAAAAAGGAAAAAACTTTACTTCAAAATGGCAAGGTCTACAGGTAGTTCTCAAGTTATGATTGGAACCAAAATTTCTATCACCGAACGATGTGGTCATAAAGTGCGATTACTGCATTGCTTAGCAAAAGCAATCCCAGCAGTCCCCATTTCTGTCATGAAGTGAACACCGCACATGACTACAATTTGCAATTTCCTACCAGCTTCCAGCAAGCAAATTCAATGGGAAAGTTGGCAGGAAGTCACAAGTCCTGGGAGGCTTGCAAGCAGGCTTGTAGATGGATAAGTGCTATGGAGGCAGGCAGGTGGGTGCTGTGGCACTGTAGGAGGACTGGCAGGGCAGAGTACTAACAAGTCAAGGTGGGCATGTACTACAGAATGCAGGAGGATACTGCAAGTGGGTGCACGTGCTACAGAGTATCTTGTACTCCATAGCTCAACTCCTTAGGGAAGAAGCAGGAGTGACATATGACTTTTCCTGCCAGCTTCTTCATTGACTTTACTTGTGGGAAGTTGACACAGGAGTTTGCAAATGCCAATTCCATGACTGCGGGGCATTATAAGCGTCATTAGTGTGAGGCAGTTGCCAAACATCCAAATCATGACCATGTGCTGTGAGGGTACTGTGATGACTAGAACCAGAACTACGGTGCAGTCATAAGTACCACTTGTTGAGTCCTGTTGCAAGTTTGAATGGTCACTGGATGAGTGGTTAATTGAAGAGTATCTATATTTATAATAGGGTAAAGATTGCTTACATCGGTACTTAACACAGACATATGTTCTCTTATTTTTAGTTTGTTTTACATTCTAGTTCCCTATATTCAGCTTTTATTTAGAGGCTTTGAAACTCATCATTTCAATTATTCCACAGTCAGCATTCCAATTTAACATTTAAATGTATTTTCAGTTGGATACTGTGCATATTGATAAAGGGATTTGTTTTTCTGAATGGTTTCCTCCAAATAAGCGTACATAGAAGGACATCATTAAAAATCTAAGTTTTGAAGTTCTACAAATTCAAGAATTGTAGAATCTTTATCAGACTCGGAATCTATTCAAGTAGTCAGGTAGCTACAGATAGTCCTAGACTTATGACCACAAGTAGTAGTGGAACTTCCATCACCAAGCTATGCGATCATTAAGTGAGTTGTGCCCAATTTTACAACTTTTTTGAACTGTTAAACAAATCACAGTTGTTAAGCAAATCAAGCAGTCATTAAGTCAATTCATACTGTACTTTCTTATAGTAAAAAGATAAAATAAATAGTGAATAAGGAATTAAATCTCATATAATATATCCATACAAGTACAAGCTAGTACTTTATGTAGGAGCTGATAATGACTGAAACAGATTGGGGAGTAAAGATATTTCATATATAAGGTTTCCCTGTCCAGTCTAGGACACAGTGCCCATCTCTGTTTCTTGGCCAAGAAAGCCAGTGTTGCCTAAAGACATTTTCTATAGTCATGTGGCCAGCATGGGCTATACGCCAAAGGCGCATGGAATGTTGTTACCTTCCCACCGAAATGGTACCTATTAATCTATTTGCTTTTGCATACTTTCGAATTGCTAGGTGAAGGGGAGCTGGGGCAAGAAACTGGAGCTCACCTGATTGCGTGGTGCCGGGTCTTGGACCTGGGCTGTCTGCTCCAGCTGGCAAGCTCAATGTCTAACCCCTGAGCCATGTTGTAGCATATTAATAAAATATTTGGTTATATGACAAAGCATAACAATACTATTGAAAAAAAGATAATTGTTTAATAATATAAACAATTATATTAATCTTGACAAAATATTTCAGATTATTACCCTTTAGAAAAAAAATTAAAAGCTACTTTTACATACAAGGTTGCATTTTAAAAAGCAGAATTACTATCACAGGGTTTTATATATAGAGAGAGATAGATTAGTAATCTTTATTCTCTTTTAATTCTAGGTGCTACAAGAAGAAAGAGAAAATAACACTGAATCAGTCACTGATGACTATAAAAAGATGGGAACTCTCTTTGGTGAACTCAACAAAAGCCTCATAAGAATAGGATTCACAAGGATGTATTTTGGAGAAAGGATTGTAGAACCTGTAATAATCCTGTTCTTCTGGGTTATGCTCTGGTTTCTAGGACTACAAGCTCTTGGATTAGTGGCTGTCCTGTGCCTTGTTATTATATATGTTCAGCAATAAAATACACTGGGTAGACTATTTCATATATTCATGGATTTACATATTTAGCTGAACAAGAATGGCATTACTACTAACTATTGTGCTAAATATTATGTAGCCATTAAATGTTTGCATGGGTTTTTGTTCTTCCAATCTTTGTATTTTAAAAAGAAAAAGCATTCTTATCTGTCATGAATAAGTAGTAAAATATTCTCAGTATGAGGCAGTGTAGTCAAATCATTCATTTAGTAAATCCTATTACTAAGTGAAAGAATTCTAATTTTAAGAGGTTTGGAGATACAAACATACTTTTCATTGTATGAATGCTGCTTTTATATTCATGCAACAACTGTTTTCAAAAAATACCTTTTATATTAAAACTAAAGGTTAAAAAGCCAATTTTATGAGCTCTTGTATGATTTTTTTATCACCTTTTAAATCTCTTTGCAAATTTATTTAGTAATGTGTATGCATAGGAACCCATCTTAATGACTTGTAAATGTATTAGAAAAATGTCAGTCTAAAAATTCTTAAATATGAGGTAAATCTGGTGATTTTTTTATTTCATTTTTTATTATGTGTGTACTTATAAAAAAAACTTTCTCTGGAAATAAATTAGGATTCTTCCTTTTTAATGGATTTCTCCTAATTTATCTCAGTTTAATTATTTTATGTGCAGTCTCTGCAAACACATTATAAGAGCAAGCTACATAAAATATTTTTTCTGAAATTGTCCATATTACCCTTTTAAATGAGTATTTTGGGGAGAAGAAATAAATACATTTCCTAGTTATAAAATCAAGGACTGATATGTATTGAGCCAAAATATTATAAACATTCTTTATCAAGTTTACTTTACAATGTAAATATTCACTGCAGAGAACTTATTAGATCACAAATGCTGCACTGTTTAAGTTATTTAAGAACCATGGAGAATGTAGTTGATAAAAACAGCTTGCACAATTCCTCCTCAAAGCCATGCTTTCTGTTACTTCGTTAAAGCAGTATCTATTGTGCAACTCTAGAACCCCACTGAAATTTTTTTTAGTGAAGCTCTTTGTGTATCTTAAAAGTATGGTGGTTATGATTACATTGATTTACCAAGTGGAATTTTTTGTGGGGGAAAATTGGAATAATAAATTATCCATCACAACTATAGAAATGCATTGCCAAACAAATTCAATCCACAAATGAAAAGTTCTTTTTGCCATGTTTACCTCAGCAAGAATCCAATGCAGAAGTAAAATTTGGAGATTCCTTTTTATCTGCAGGACTATTGTGTCATTTTTATACTGTTCAAAGTACGGTACAGATTTTTGAACAAATATGTAGGAAAATATCCACATAACAATATCCTACACTAGATCAATAGTTTATAGGCAAAAGGAAGATCAGCACTGGATAAAAACTAGCTTTCATAATATTTCTTATTTATGGTAATATAATTTCTCTTTTTACTTTAGCTGTTCCAAATAGGATATTTGTAGCTGAAATTGGTTTTTGTTATTTAAATTTAAGAGAAATTCCAGCCTCCCTTTTAATAGTTAATTTTTATTTCATTAATGAGTCATCAGTTTTTACTTTTTATTCATCTAGTTCATGAAAAGATTTTTTTTTTAAATTAAAACTTGTCAATTTATTTTGTTGTAGACTTTAAAAATATCACAGTTCTGTTGATGTGGCCCTATCTAAACAATGTACAGAATCAGGATTATTGATACTGTAATAAAGAACAGTGAATTCTTTTGTATCTTGGGTGGCTGTTACAGCTCTCCAATAGATATCTGAAGATTCTCATTCATTTTGTGAGAGGAAGCAGGCTTATGCGTTTCAATGAAATGTCAGAATATATACAGAGAAACCATATACAAAGGTGCTTCTCTTTTCAATCAGTATAGCTGGGTATTAAATTCTATACCCTTTTTTAGGGACAAGAGTGTGATCTAGTTTAGAACCTGAAGAATGCCTTTATAGGTATTAGAAAACTAATTTTAAAAAAAACTAACTGTTATTGGTGATGAATTAAGTGCAAGTGTGCTAAGAATGACTTTTAAATGATTTTCAAATAACTACTCAGTTCAAACCTGTAGCATGTGTATATAATATATTCTGTAGGTGTGTGAATGTTTTTATTTAGGGCCTATCATTTGGCCCATTTACAATGATTTTGAAATGGCTTTAGAGTATGATCACACTTTTGGAGTTGTCTTGTTCTTAAATGAAACTTCTAACTTTTGATCTTCAATTATTATCATTCTACTATTTTTAACTCTAATATGTTTTGGAAAGGAATGGAGCAAATATTATTTTATATGAATTATTGACTGTATAGTATACTGAAGAGCCATGCACTATGGCTTATTTAGTTGACAATGATCCCTGCTGAAGCTCTTCACATGTCAAAATATGCTACCAGATTCGGGGTAAAAAACAGTATTAGATATACTGTTCAGGAAGATGCAACCAGGCATGGAAACTGGTAACCTCACAGATTCTTTTGAAAGTATTTTCTGATCACAGATAAGGATTTGCTCTGAAAAATGTAACACCTAGAATGGTTTTAATATTCAATTATTTCCTCAGAAGTGTTTGTATGAAAGTACGCTTCTACAAATTCAGATTTTTAAAAATAAATTTTCTTTTGGTTTAAAAATTGCTTTTGTCTGATTTTTTTAAATTAGTGGAAATTTATTTCATTAATTTATAATGAAATACCTTTAGTAAAACAGGAGCTTCAAAAGGCATAGTTGTAGTCTGAAGGTTTTTTGTTAAAAAAAACATTATTTCCAATAACTAGAAATTACAAATAGTCCTCGACTTAAAACAGTTCATTTAGTGACTGTTCAAAGTTACAATGGCACTGAAAAAGTGACTTATGTCTGTTTTTCACACTTACAACCGCTGTAACATCCTCATGGTCATGTGATTAAAAGTTGAATGCCTGGCAACTGATTCATATTTATGATAGTTGCAGTGTCCAGGGTTCACGTGATCACCTTTTGCAACCTTCTGACAAGCAAAGTCAATGGGAAAGTCAGATTCACTTAACAACTGGGTTACTAACTTATCAACTGCAGTGATTCACCTAACAACTGTTGCAAGGAAGGTCGTAAAATGGGGCAAAACTCACTTAACAAATGTCTCACTTGACAACAGAAATTTTGGGGTTCAATTGCGGTTGTAAGTTAAGGACTGCCTATTCTTGTTTTAGGAAAAACAAGGAAGTGTCTTTTTTATGATGCCTTTAACTTTTACTGGTTTATATAGATATATATAGATGCCTTTTACTGATTTATATAGATGTCCAAGAAAGGTATGCATGCCCATGACAAATGGTGGAGGTAAATCTTATGTAGCAGATAGCAAAATGATGTTAGTTGGGTTCTAATAGAAACATGGGGTGGGAGGAGAGAACTTATAACTCTAGTTCTATTTGACTGTATTCACTTATCCAATCCCTTTGATTGCAATGGCAATGGAATAAAATATAGATCTTTATATCTTATTCTGGATCAGAATCATAGTTTAGAAGTAGAATGTAAGCTTATTGTACAGTCAAAAACATGACATCTCCAATTAATAGGCTAAGAAAGAGAACTTCTGTTGCACCTGAGACCTTGGAGAACTTCTAGTTGAAGAAGATTACCTTGACCTATAAGGACAAATTAGCTAGAATGGTACAAGGCAGCTTCTTGTATTAATATTTGTATTAATATTGACTTATGACTGTTTTTCACAGTTATGACCTTTGAAGCATCCCCATAATCATTTGATCAAAATTTAGATGCTTGATGACTGATTCATCCTTAGGTCTGTTGCTGTGTCCCAAGGTCATGTGATCCCCTTTTGCAACCTTCTGACAAGCAAAATCAATGGGGAAGCCAGATTCACTTTACAACCGTGTTACTAACTTAACAACTGCAATGATTCATTTAACAACTGTGGCAGCAGAAGTCATAAAATGGGGCAAACGCATTTAATAAATGTCTCAACAACAGAAATGTTGGGATCAATTGTGATCGTAAGTCGAGGACTACTTGTAGTCAGACAAGAAACTTTAATAACATTTTTTAAAAAATATAAACAAATTAAAAGAACTACATTCTGATTCTATAAGAAATGAATAAGTAATAAAACTCATTCTGCTTGCATACAAGTAATCCTCATTTAGCAATTGCCTCATTTAGGGACCATTTGTGGTTATGACTGTGATGAAAAAGTAATTGAACAATCCTTGCATTTACAACCTTTGCAGGTCTATAAAGCAAAGGAAAGCTGATCAAAGCACAGTCACAGTTTTACTTAGCAACCACTTCACTTAACAACCAAGTTGCCTGTCACAGTGTGGTTGCTAAATGAGGACTATATGTAAAAATACTTCAATGGATATCTTCTCAATATTATGTTATCAAATGGTCACGTTGGAAAACCAGGTGTACAGTATTTATGCACTTTTCTTCTCATTAAATGCAGTGAACATGCTTCTTAGGAAAACTGCATAAACATAAGTCAGTAGAATTTCTAGTATGTGATTAATATTACGCATTTTAAATTTTAATTATTTGAGCGACTATGTGCAACTTCACTGAATCTGTTGAGCTGTTGAAAAATAATTTCTCTGAATAAAATATACAATCAGCAGATTCCTTAAATTTTTATCCTATCTAAAGAAAATTTATGTACCAAGAGGAAAAATATATTACTATAATTATATACTACACACACACTCAAAACATTTAGATGCTTCCCAAGTCCAGCATATTGATATTTTGAACTCCTAAATCAAAACAACCAAGAAGCATTCAAGGCAACCGAGATTGTTATACCTGTTCAGGGCATTTATTTTTGTTTTAATTGGACATTTGTGAAAATGGATAAGTTGTGGAGTAGTTTCTTTAAGAATGTTTATTTCAAAATGAGTTTTCCTCCTAATGACTTCAAGACAATATTCATACGGTTTTCTTGGCAACAATGCAGTAGTGACTTACCACTGCCTTTTTCCTGGAAGACTTTTTCCACTTTCTGACTACACTTGGATGGTTACTACATTCTAATATATTTTTGCAATAATTTTATGAAAGTTTACAAATACAAAAATAAAAGTCTAAGACAAACTAAACAAATATGAAAAGTAAAGAAAAAAGAGAAGTGCAAAGAGACAGAAAAAAGGAAAAAAGACATATAAAAGATGACTTTCTCCCTACTTCCAGAAAACTAAAAATAACTTCAGTATCTTAATACCTTCTCTAATATTTCAGTAAAAATCTTTTCTTCCCATAGCTCATCCCATATCAATAATCAATGTATAAAAACATTATTCATTTATAATCAGCAAAAGTCTATTAAGAGCTACCAGAAATAATAAAATACAATATTTTAACCTTAATCTAATAAATCTACCTTATTTTACAATTTATCACTTTCTTTAAGAAATAGAGCAAAAGGAATCTCTCCTTATAAGCAGATCTTTGATGCCTCATTGATATCCTGGTCAAAAAGAAATTCCACTAATAGCTATCAAAAATCACTATATATATATGTATACACACACACACACACACACACAAAACATATATATATAAAATCAAAATGTCTACTTTGAATTCCTTCAGTTTACTTATCTTGATCTTCAATTCTGCCAAATGATATCCCACAAGTTATCATTATCATTTTCTCTCCTCTCAGGAAGACAATATAAATATTTAATTTAAATTCCAAAATGTATAATTTTGAAATATATATATTGATAAAAAAGAAATGGGACAGATAACATACTTGTTAGTTGAAGAAAAATCCCAAAATCAATATGGGAGTAGCGGTTTAAGCCAATTTAAGGCTACAAATAAGAAAAAAACAAGGACAAACTATGAATCTGCAGTTTGTTACAGTGAAGAAGAACTATAAATGGTAAAACATTCAGCTGATCATATTTCAGTTTATCTTGTAATAATATAACTTAGTGATTTTCAATGGAGGAAAAGAGAAGGCAACACCTGAGCCTTTTAGTATAGTTTGTCTCACAATCAGCCAGATGTTCATACTGGATTTGGCATTTTTATCCACCTATTGAGTTCCTCTCAAGGTTTGGGATAGGCAGATGTTGATTTTTGATGGTGTTAAAGTTAACATGGCAGTATTTAAGCTGTTTTGAGTAAAGCTGCCTTTTGCAATTGACTGATGGTGATTTTGTCAAGGCTGATGGTGTTCAAGTGGTATTCTAGTTCAGGGCTTTTCAACCAGTGGTACGGGTACCACCTGTGGTACATTGGCACCTGGCAGGTGGTACGCAACCATCCTAGAAAAGTGGTAGCGGGGGAGGGGAATGAGCTGAACCGGTGGCAGCACCACACAAGCCTCAGCGAGAGATGGCTGGTGCTGCAGGGCTGTCAGGGCGCAGCGGAAGTGCTAAAATCAGTGCCAAGCTCCAGCTGGAGCTCAGCGCTGATCCTGATGCTTCTGCTGAGCCCAGAAGAAGCGCCGATCAGCTGGAATGTTGCAGCATCTCCAGGTCTTGAGATTTATATTCAGATGCTTGGCAACTGATTCATATTTATGATGGTCAGTGTCCCAGGGTCATGTGAATTGACCAAAACCTGCTGCAAACATCCTTCAAGACAGGGGGGAATAAAAACCAAACACCCCCCACCCTACCCCCGCTGCCAATCCTCAACAGAAATGCTCACAACAATGAAAACCTCGGACAGGAGGAAGAGCGCTGCTGGGGTAGGCAGGCAGGTGTCTTGCTCAGCTGTGGCTTGGTGGGCACTTTTTTCAGTGCCATTGTAACTTCTAAGAGTCACTAAGTGAACTGTTGTAAGTCGAGGACTACCTGTACTTTATCACTTTTTTCATTTATTTTTTATGGTCATCAAGTTTTTGACACCTTGCTAGGCGACTGGTGGTACTCGGATGTTACCATATCCTAAAAGTGGTACAATGGGTGAAAAGGTTGAAAAGCCCTGTTCTAGTTGCCTTGAGATTGCACCCAAGACACCAATTACTATTGGTACTACCTTTGCTTTCTTTTGCCACAGTCATTCTATTTCTATTTGCAAATATTTTGCTATTATTATGGCTTTGAAACTAATAATATACATTAATAGTGGCCACAAACATTTTAGCAGTCACTTTCCACAAGCATAGTTTGATTCTAGTCAGTTTTAGATAATTTTTTAAAATTATCTTATTGTCACTTTTTTATTGCGAGCATACTGGCACACATTAAAAATGAAATTCTGTTGCCTGCTCTCAAAAATGTACACATACATAACACATATATAAACCTGCTATATACATACATATGTATATACCTACATTCTTACATATAAATACATATAAATATTAATCACTGTCCATCTTGAATATGTAGTGGAAAGAGGAAGCTTGAGAGTTCACAAGGTTGATACTGTATCAACCTTGTGAACTCAATACTGCGCTCTTCCTCCTGTCCGAGGTTTTCATTGTTGTGAGCATTTCTGTTGAGGATTGGCAGCGGGGTGGGGTGGGGGTGTTTGGTTTTTATTCCCCCCGTCTTGATGAATCTGAATGTTGTGCTTCGGATACCACAAAGCCTCCTTCCAGAAAGTAACAAGGAAAACAGGTCGTGAAGAGGATGTGTAGTTCCCAGACAATACTGCGGATCCTGCTCAAGCA